GGTAACAGCAATGAACCACCACAAAAAGTTCCAAACTATTGGAGTAATAAGGGTTGAGGTATAAGGCTGTGGAGAGATAAGGTTGAATAACACCCCTGTTAGGTTGGTCCATCTACATCCCTACAATGCAAAAAAAAAAAAAGCAGAAAGGTTGTGCAGGAAATCCATGATTGAAGCCTCAATAGGTAAATCGAGTCAAGTAACTTGGGCAAGACCAGATCACAAGAATGACCACCAAAAGCTTAACCGGTTAACTTAGAATGGATTGGTAGGTTTGGCATGAACTAACACTTGTGGCATATACATTCTAATTCCATATGAAGGTTGGTTGTTTGACTCTGGATTGCAGAAAGATTTGGTATCCTTAAATGTATGTTTTCTTCACTTGCATCTGAGAAAAAAGGTTGACAGCACCTATGTAGTAGTGTTTAAGGTTGTTGCTTTGTTCATTGTCACCTGCCTGAGTGGGAATCCTCACTCAGGGGAGTAAGCCCGTCATTTTGACAACGTTGTTTTCCCCTGTTTCTTATGTACAATCCTGTAAGTACCAAAAAGAGTTTAGTTGTTTTGCTTGAGGACAAGCAATTCTTCTAGTTTGGGGGAGTTGATAATGGTTTATTTGTTACATAAAAGCATCACAATTAACTCTGAATTTAGTAAGAAATTGGGGAATATTTTCTACTATTAGTGCATTTTACTTAACTAGTTTTCATGTTTTTGTTAGGAAGGGGTTTGACTGCAAAATTGCTGAAAAGTTGAGGCCAAGGGAATAAATTGTGGGCTGCTGAGGCAATGCTGCTGAGCTAGACGAGGAAGCACCTCCTTAGACAAGAAGCATCTTGCCATTAATAAGCATGTCTCCTCCAAGAGGCATGCTTGTCCCCCAGCCGAAATTTCAGCCTCCCCTGCTGATCAATGAGAGCAATGCTACCACTTTAGGAAGAAGAGAAGAAGAACAGCCAAGTTTGGATTCCAGGCTCAAGGCGTTCGGAGGATTAAACAATTGCAAGCATGGGGAGGCCCTCATGATGAAGGAATCGGCTGCAAGGCCCTATAAAAGAGGGAACTGCACTCTCAGAAGGGGGATCTCAATCTCTGGTTACCCTTTCAGTTGCCACAAAAACACACAGAAAAACTCCAGGTAAAAGGCAAGAAGGAAGAAGAAGCAACAGTAGTAACTCAGTAAGGAAGCCAAGTGGAGAGTAGCCATCCCAGTTTCTGCTTCAGTTCCATGAGTGAACCCTTTCACTCCCAGGAGAGGCTCAGAAACTGCACAAGCTTTTTTCTCGTCTCTTAACTGTTAGCTTGAACTTTGTTTATTATGCATACTTCTATGACATCTTTTGATGTAGTAGATGTAGCATTAATTTGTATGAGTAGCTAAACAGTTTCCAGGAGTTATTCTCCTCAACTTATGTTGTAGTTGCAATGCACTGGTTTTGTTCCTTGTCTTAAGGTTGAAAGTTTTTCTACATTCATTTACTTGATCACTAAATTGAATGCATGCTAGAACTAAGGGAGATCTGGAAAGAAAAACTTGGTTTGGATTGTTTCAACCTTAACTTATGACATAGAGGTAACAGTCTATGGTTTTAACTGAGATAGGAATATACTTAGTTAACATAAGCATTGTTGAAGGCCTAAGAACTTAATGACTTTGTATCTGGAATCAATCATTGGAAAATAGATTGTTAAGGTTGCAAGGATGACTCTAGGAAAAATGGGAACTGACTTAGAGTTATAAGTGAGCTGAATGAACAAGAACTCAACCATTACAGTGCTAATAAACAACTACAACAGTAAGAAGAGGAGAAGAACACCCATGGCCTTCATTCCCCTGAGTGACTGTTTCCATTCCCCTGAGTGACACCTTGTCTGACTGGTAGTTTTTGTTTTTACAACAAATTTGGTAATTAGCTGTCCTCGTGGGATCGACCTAGCTTCCATTATCTACAAAAATCATAATCCAACCTAGTAATATTTTTGGTGAACTCGGCAAGCACCAGTTTGTTGTAGTTGTGATTCGTTCTGTTGACCAGCATTGCACTCTGCTCCCCATGACTTTCCAGTGAGGTATGTAACTGTTGTTGTTTCTCAACATTCAGAACCATTGAATATGCTTTCTTAACATCTGGAAGTGGATCTGTGGCTAAGATTTGATTCTTTATAGGCAAGTAAGACTCATTGAGATCCGTCAAAAATTGCATCAATCTATCTCTTTCTTCCTTTCCCCCACTAGTTCGATTAACTCTGCAAACACAACCATAACAAGTGCAAACCTCTGGTGGATCAATGCTACATAACTCATCCCATAACTTCTTCAACTTTGTGTAGTATCCTGGTAAACTCAAATTTCCTTGCATGAACCTGCTAATTTCACGCTTCAACTTATAGATTTGAGGCGCATTACTTGTCCCAAAACTATCCTTCAAATCTTGCCACAATTCCTTAGCATCTTCTGCCATATTAAAGCCTTCAAGCAATTCACTTGAAATAGAATTCAGAATCCATGACGTCACTGTGTCATTTACTCTACACCACTGCTCAAAATCTTGATTACCTTCTGCTGGTCTGACAACAGTACCATTAATGAATCCAAGCTTGTTCTTTGAGCTTAGAGCTCTTCTCATTGAGTGACTCCAGATCACATAATTGTTCGATGTTAACTGACAATTAATGATTGACAGATTTAGAGTATCAGACGGAAGCAAAGTTAGAAGATACATGTATCCACCGTAATTCACGGCTGAATTCTCCCTGTGAACCTCAAAAAAGGTTCGATCATCCAAGAAATCTTCATTTCTTTGCTCAATTCGAGCTTCATCAGATCTTGCTGCTGTTTGTCGCGAACCTTCTGCGAACTGATTATCGGCCATTTCTTTGAATTAACTAATGCTGTGGTTGAGGTTTTTCAAGATTTGTGCACTAGAACAGTTTTCAGAAGTAGGATTAACCTGCTCTGATACCATTTAGAAGAATCGGAGTCTTCATATTCTAGGGTTTATGAAGAACGGAGAGAATGAATTTGGGAATTTTTCATTGTATTTCCAGATTTGCATGAATGTGTGTATATTCTTCTCAGCCACCGTATTTGTACATATATATATATACAATTAACAGCTAATGATTAGCTGTATTTAATATGTCCTATAACTGTCCTAAGTAAAAGGTCTATATAACCCTCCACTTAACTTACACATCTATATACATTAGAAGGGCAAAACTGTACAAATATCAAAGTTGTACAAAAACTGGGTCGGTTGACTGAAAACCTTCAACCGCCTTCATCCTAGATCTATTTTTACTGATTCTTCACCGCTTTCTTCCTCTTGAACCACAGCTCATTTGCCGACTCAATGACCAAGTTACAGAGCAAGAAGTGCTCCAAGCAGTGAATGAAATGGGGTCTCTGAAAGCCCCGGGGCTGGACGGGCTTCATGCTTACTTTTTCCAGAAATATTGGTTGACTGTTCGGGTTTCTGTCTGTCAGGCTGTAAAAGCAAATCTGGCTAGGGATGGAGTGCCAGAAGAACTGAATAAAACCCTTATCTGCCTTATATCGAAGGTGGAAAACCCGGCAAGTATTCGGCAATTTAGGCCTATAAGCCTATGTAACGTGGTGTACAAAGTGGCCACAAAGCTAATAACCAACAGGCTAAAACCCATCCTTCCAGGGATTATAGGTGAGGCTCAGACAAGTTTTGTTCCTGGGCGGCATATAAATCACAACATAATTGTGGCTCAAGAGGTGATTCACACGATGAGGAATTTAAGGGGGAAAAAAGGGGTGATGGCCATCAAAATAGATATTGAAAAGGCCTATGACTTGTTGAGATGGGAGTTCATTGAAGAGACGTTGCACCTAGCTGGGATTCCACCTTTACTTATTAGAGTCATAATGAGCTGGGTATCTTCCTCCACAGTGCAGATCTTATGGAACAGAGAGCCAACAGAAGGCTTCAAACCAATCCGGGGGATTAGACAGGGGGATTCTATATCGCCGTACCTGTTTTTTCTTTGCATAGAAAGACTGGCACACGCTATCTCTGAGAAGGTTGATACTGGTGACTGGAAGGCGGTGAAGTTTGGAAGACAGAAGCTACCAGTCCCATAATTACTATTCGCAGACGATATCATGTTGTTCCTGGAGTCGACGGAGGCCCAAGCTGACATGGTTGGATCACTTCTCTAGAAATTTTGTTCGTCATCAGGCTTGCGCATAAGCTCGGCAAAGACAAAAGTCAACTTCTCTCGAAACGTTCACTCAGAAAGAAGGAGGGTCTTGGCAAACAAACTCGGGTTTGGGACTGTGGATGACTTTGGCAAGTATCTAGGTATGCCCTTGCTCCACAAAAGACGCACCAAAGCAACATATGGGCCGGTAGTGGAGGCAGCAAAGAAGAAATTGAACGGGTGAGCAGCATCTAAACTCTCGCTAGCAGGGAGGGTGACTCTTGCACAATCCGTCATCAGCGCCTTGCCCTGTTACTCAATGCAATCGACGATCTTGCCGGTGTCGATTTGTGACGAACTGGAAAGGTGACCAGGAAGTTCTTTTGGAGGGGGATCGAGCCAAACTAGAGGAGTTAGCTAAATCCCTTGGGAAGAAGTATGCCAGGAAAAATTCAGGGGTGGATTAGGCCTGAAGAGACAGAGGGAAATGAATAGGGCCTTCGTTATGAAACTGGGCTGGCAGTTATTAAAGGGCTCCGATACTTTGTGGGTCAAGGTTTTGAAGGCAAAGTATGAAATCAGTCTGGAGGACAACTTGGACTTTCCTAGTAGATCCAAAGAATCAGATTGTTTCAAGGCAATTGCTAAAGTATGGGACCAAGTAAGGGCGGGCACAAAGTGGGCCCTAAATCATGGTTCAAAACTAATTTCTGGGTAGATGAATGGGTTCTTAGTCTTCCACCATTACACACAGTGGCACTAACCCCCATCATGGAGGAACAAATGCGGCTGATGGTAAGGGATTTTGCTGATGAAACAGGGTGGAAATGGGACCTATTTGCAGGACTTCTACCTCCGTCGGTGCTGATCAGACTCCGTCAACCATGCCGCCAAATCCTCTAATCGGAGAAGATGTCAGGTACTGGGTTCACGATCCGAAAGGGACTTTCTCAGTAAAGTCTGCCTATACAGCAATCTCGACAAATGTATTGCAGCAGTGATTGCTGATCTGGAGGGACATCTGGGGATGGGACGGGCCTCAAAAAATCAGAACTTTCCTCTGGCTACTTGGGAAGAACCGTATCCTTACAAACGGGGAGCGGAGGAGACACCATCTCACGATTGATGCTTCTTGCCAGCGATGTGGAGCCTTAGAGGAAACAGCACTTCATGCTGTTAGAGATTGCCCGGAGGCGAAACAGGTTTGTTGCAAATTTGTTACTCCTCACCTCCACTCTGTGTTTTTTGGATGGGATCATCGAATGTGGGTAACCGGAAACCTCCAGAACTCCCTTCACATAACTGGGGAGTGGGCCTTACTTTTTGGGGTTGTTGCGTGGAAGCTGTGGCGGTGGAGAAACCTGCTAATCTTTGAAAATGAAGTATTTTTGCTTCCCTATAAAGTGGGAGAGGTGGTGAAAAAGATGAGAGAGGTGCAGGATGCACGTAGGCATCGGAATAGAATGGGGCAACAATGCATTTCAAAAGAGATGTGTATGCTGTTTTGGAGACTGCCAGTAGAGGGGAAGCTCAATTTAAACTCAGATAGAGCGGTGGATGGGAACACGGGATGGGCGTCTGCAGGGGGAGCTGATCAGAGACCACTATGGTGTATGAAGGGGGGCTTCATGATGAATATTGGGTATTGCTCCATTACGGGGGCAGAATTATTGGGACTCTACCAGGGTCTTAAGTTGGCATGGGATTCGGGTTACAGAGATTTGGAGGCGGTAGTGGACAATCTAAGCATCACACAGATGCTTAAGGACAAACAGAGGCCACCTTGTGCGCATGAAGGGTTGTTGTGATCAATAAGGGAACTATTGAGCAGACCATGGAGGGTGGAACTTAGCCACAACCATAGGAATGTAACCATATTGCTGATTTTTTGGCATCACTGGCGGCAATGAATCCAGGAGGCCTTACGCGACTGGATTCGCTGCCACCAGGTATTCTAGAATGGCTTTATCATGATGTTGCAGGGGTTTCCTATCCCCGAACTATTGTTATATAATTTTTTGTTGATATGGTATGATATATATCTCTTTTCGTCCCAAAAAAAAAAAGAAAGAACCATACGGAAGAAGTAACGAGGAAGTTTTACAGTTGAGTTTGAAATTCGAGATTAAAATTCTATTTATAGAAAATCTCAATGCATTAATATGGTACAGCAATTTAAGGAGTGAAAATTAATGTCAGAAAATATAAAATATATATACTTCAAAAAAGAAAAAATCAGGAAAACAAATTTAGACACAGGCATGAGCCCGCTTCTTCAGTGCCCTATTCCAACGCTGAACTGCCTCGAGGAAAATTATGCAAAGAATAAAATAGATTCGCCAATATCTGTAAACAAATTCTTTTTCTTTTTTTTTCCTTTTACCATTCTAATAATCATCAAACTTTTCTTACAGATTTCTTCATTTTGTAAGGAAATTATTTCTGGGTTGTTTGTGTCTTTCTCCTGTTGTTAATCCTTCTTCCCCTGTTCCTGTATCAATCTTCACAAGTGTCCGTTTGTTTCTTCCTCACTGATTCGGACATTTTTGGTTCCTGCTTGGTTTCCTTTTTTGGCGTCTATTTAGATTACAAATTTAAAGTGGAAGCAGGCCGGTCAATCTCTTGGTTTGCCCTTTTTGTCTTGTTCTTTACACTTTTGGATTTAAGTTACATTGGATTATTAGCATCTGATTCCTTCTTTAGTTTATCCCGAGATGGTCATCCTAATTTGCCATCGTTTCCTTCTTCCCTCTTCAAGATTGAATTTTGACTAAGAATATATTGCTCTCAGAACTGTTTTCTGGATATTGGAATGGGATTTCTGATGGATGGTGAGAAATCTGATTCCTTCTTCGGTGTTGTGCATTGTTGACAGTCGGGCAAAGGTCAGATTAGTTGGCAGTAATTGGTGTTAATGGTTCTTTAGGCTTTTTAATAGAGGGGTTGTTAATGTCTCGAAAATCTTTATTCTGCATTTTCTTGGTGCCTTCACTGTTATTTGTGGTATCTTGGTTTTTTGTATTGCGCTTGAGTGGTAGCCCTCACCTTGTTGATATCAACATATCTTCAAGGCCTAAGCTTCTTTCTACTACAGATGCTGACAACTCTGAATTTAAGGGTAATGGGTTCTCAACTGATCATAGTTACACAGTTAAAGGAATTGATAGTATGAAGGGAATAAAATGCACTACTAACAGAGAACCCTTGAAAGTATTTATGTATGATTTACCTTCTGAATTTCATTTCAAACTTCTGGGGTGGAATGCAAATGGGAATAGTGTTTGGCCAGATATAAGGTCTAGTGGTATTCCTGCTTATCCTGGTGGACTAAACTTGCAGCACAGTATAGAGTATTGGTTGACTTTGGATCTTCTGAGTTCTGAATTTGCGGGAGATTTGAGTGGTAGAAGTTCTGTGAGGGTCAAGAATTCAAGTGAAGCTGATGTGGTATTCGTTCCTTTCTTTTCGTCGCTAAGTTTGAACCGGTACTCAAGGTTGAAGCCACAAGAAAAGAAGACAGTAAATACCTTACTTCAGCAGAAATTGGTCACCTATTTAACATCTCAGAAGGAATGGAAAAGATCTGGTGGAATTGATCATGTGGTAGTTGCTCATCATCCTAATAGCCTCTTGGATGCTAGATATCAGCTTTGGCCTGCAATGTTTATTCTTTCAGATTTTGGAAGGTATCCCCCAACTGTTGCAAATGTTGATAAAGATATCATTGCCCCTTATAAGCATGTGGTTAGAACCTTTGTCACTGATGCATCTGATTTTGATAGCCGTCCAACTCTGCTCTTCTTCCAAGGAGCTATATACAGAAAAGATGTAAGTGGTTTGTGCTTTTACCTTCTATTGTGGGACCTTTTATTAGTAGAACTTTTTTACTACATATTATATTCATTCATTCGTGGATCATAAGGGTACTATGCTGCTGTTTAACTTCTTACTTTGATAGGGTTATTTGCTGACATTCTCAATTGCTAATCTCATTATTGTATACTGCCTCTCATTCACCGCTATGGTTTCATTCAGAAGCACAGCCTAAAAATGCTAGCATAAGATATTGATAGATTTTACCAGAGAAGTTGATTTTTCTTTTTTGGTCAACAGAGAAGTTAAATGTTTACCGCTTCAGTCTTCATCTTACTGCTTGATGTGATGATGCATAGATTCCAATATCTAGTTTTTCTTCTTCGAGGTCCTTCACTTAACAATTCTTTTTCATGTTTTCTGTTTAACATTTTGGCTATTTAATGGGATTAGTCTATTTTGACTTAAGAAAGTGTCGCACAATTCAATGGGAGGGCAGAATAAGAGGAGAGAAGGCAGTGTTTAATTCAACTTGGAATGGTGGTTTTGGTTTTTGTTTTTCAGGGTGGAACTATTCGTCAAGAGTTGTTCTACATGTTGAAAGACGAGAAAGATGTGCATTTCTCGTTTGGTAGTGTCCAGAAAGATGGGATCCGAAGTGCTGCACAGGGCATGCAATCCTCCAAGTTCTGTCTCAATATAGCTGGAGATACCCCTTCATCAAACCGACTCTTTGATGCCATAGCAAGTCACTGTGTTCCCATCATCATAAGTGATGAAATAGAGTTGCCTTACGAAGATGTTTTGGACTATTCTGAGTTCTGTATCTTAATTCGAACAACAGATGCTCTCAAAGAAAAGTTTGTCATAAATCTTGCTAGGAACATAGGGAAAGATCAATGGACTAGGATGTGGACAAGGCTAAAGGAGGTTGAGAATTTCTTCGAGTATCGCTTTCCATCAAGAGAGAATGATGCAGTTCAAATGATATGGCAAGCCATTGCACGGAAGGTTCCTGCTATGAAAATGAAGTTAAACAAAGCCCGGAGATACTCACGTACTGATGTCCCGGCAGATCAATGGTTAAAAACACTCCCGTTGCCTTTGCCCAGAAATTTTTGGTGAAAGTTATGGTCTGTTTTATTTTTTTAGTTCGACATATGAATTGCACTGGGGAGTATGTGAAGATCACCACATGGAAGTTAGATTCTTTGACCACATAAAAAGAAAAGAAAAAGAAAGAAAAGAGAAAAAGAAAGAGTAGGATGTGGACATTGATATTGTTGTAGGAATTGGTTCCAGTGGAATACAAAGTTGATCACCGAAAAGATTGATCGCTTTGGAAATTAGATTATCTTTCATAAGATTATATTAAATAGCCACCCCTTCTTGAAAAGCTTGTAGATATTTCTTAGACTAAATTTTATTCCCATCCTATAACAAAAATAGTATTGCTTATGGCATTCTTGTTTATAGCTTAGTCTTTGAGTACTATTACTGACTTCAAAGTTTCATTTTAAGTTCCACATAGTGATAAACAGTACTATTACATCATCCTTTAATTACTTTATTAAAGTAACTTTATCTTCTTCATTATTCTATTACATTATGACTTTTGCACAACTAAGATAGAGACAACTAAGGGAAAAGGTAACATTAATTAATTGATCTTTCTCTCTAAAATTTTTCTCCCGTTTCTCTCTACTTTTTCAAACCTAGAAACCCTAGTTTTCGTGGCGGCTGCCCGGCCGCCGGACAATCCTCACGCCAAAAATTTGACGTTCTCGCAAATTTTGAATGGCACAAAACCTAACCCTAGAAAGATACAGCAATGTTTTGAAAAATTCAGAATTGAAGAACCATTCATAGCCTCGAATCCTACGGTTTTTAAGGGGGAGCCTTGCTTCCTGTTAACCAAAGAAGAAGATGACAAGATTGCGGAGCCCTTTAAATTGGCACTTATCGGAAAATTCACGAGAGGCAGACCATCAATGGAGTATCTATGGCTTCAATTTCAAAAAATTGGATTCAAGGGGGAATTTTCGCTAGGAATGATAGATCATCGCCATGTCTTGATATATTTTGATCAAAAGGACGATTTCAAGAGGTGTTGGATCAAGGGTTTGTGGAATTTCGATCACCACGTGATGCGAGTTTTGAAGTGGACGCCGGATTTTAACCCGGAGCATGAATCATCTATTGCACCGGTTTGGGTTGCGTTTGAAGGATTTCCAATCCACGGTTTCAATGAAGAATATTTGTGGAAACTAGCAGGAATTATATATAGGGACTCCTTAAAAATTGATGTGCCGACTTTGAACATGTCTCGCCCGTCAATTGCGGGAGTATGTGTTGAAGTAAACCTTCTTCATGATCTTCCGATGAGAATCCGGCTTGGAACAATCGAGAATTCTTATTATCAGCCGGTGACGTATGAAAATCTCCCCGATATTGTATGGAGTGTCGCAAAATTGGACATGATGTTGTAAACTGTCGTCATGGCAAGGTGAAAGGAGAGGAAAAACGAGCTGCGATTGTAAACCACCCTATTTCGAAAACAAAAAATCCACCCAACCCTAAGAAGACTGAACCTGAGCTTAAGAAGAAGCCCATTGCAGCACCGCAGGCTTGGAAAAGCAAGGAAACTCAGAGTGGAAACATAGAGTCGACTGCGGAGATGCAGAAGGAGGCGTCGACTTCTGGACTGACGGAAAAGGAAAAACACCAAATTCCAACTGATGTTGCTTCTCTCAGTACAACAACTCAGCCAGCAAATCGTCTCCTTACAAAGGAGAAATTGAGCGCTATCATTGAAAATAGTTCCAAGGAAAAAAATTTAGAGATTACATGGGAGGAGGATGGGAAAATAGCTGAGCAAGTGAGGATTGAAAACCAACTGGTCGTATATAAGGAGCCACTAACTTCCAATCCTCCAATCAATTTAGCATCCCGATTCGATATCTTAGCTAATTTGCAAGATGATCAAGGTGATATCTCTGGAATGGGTACTGTTGAACAAGCAACTGGACTTATGGATGAGGTTGAAAGTGACTCCGACAAGGACATGGCATATGAGGAATCGATTGATATGCAGGAAAATAAAAGCTGTGATGATGAAATTTTTGGTTTGTTAGAGAAAGAGGTTATGGATGCGCATCTGGTTGTATCGGACAGTGAAGGAAAAAAGAAAAAATGGGGACGTCCGATAGGATCCAAAAATACATCAGAAGCCAAAGATTCAGAAACTCGGCGTTCTACGAGATTGCAAGGTGATCATCTATAAAATTTCTCAATGGATAACATAATCATGTGGATTATCAGAGGAGTTGGTAATAAAGCATCAATCAGACGGTTAAAAAGTTTGGTTAAGGTGCATTCTATTTCTTTAGTTGTTTTGCAAGAACCAATGCAGCCCGATTCTGAGCTGGAAGTATTGAAAAACAAATTGCATTTTTCCTCCGCGCTGTCTTCAATAACTGGGAAAATTTGGGTTCTGAGCTCGCCTAGATGGAAAATTACTGAGTTGGGTGGAACTGAACAAGTACTACATCTAAGAGTAGAGAATATTTCTTCATCAAAAATGTTTTTGTTGTCAGCTATTTATCCCAGCTCAACTCGCAATGGAAGAAATAGCTTGTGGTCAGAACTTAAAAGATTTCAACAGCAACAAGCTATGCAACCGTGGATCGTTGGTGGTGATTATAATGTGATACGGACTATGGAGGAATATGATGGATCGTCGCAACCCGATAGAGGTACAATACTCCCTCCATTCCAAAATAGATGTCGTTGGAGGAGTTGCACAAAGTTTAAGAACACAATAAATACTTGGTTAGAATACTAATCTACCCTCATTTACTTTCAATGGAATCCTATTTCCAATATTATTTAGTTTTAATATACTTCTACTTTAAACACAATTATAATTTCCCATGTAGGGGTAATGTTGGAAGAAATTGACAAAACATTCCTCGAAATGCAAAAACGACATATATTTTGAAAAAAATGAGTTTTCCTCCAACGACATCTATTTTGGAATGGAGGGAGTAGAAGACTTCAATTGCTGGATCAATGATAGCTCGCTTATGGAATTGCCGCCGGTGGGTAATCTGTATACTTGGACAGGGAACCGTCAAGGTGGAAAAGTAAAGAAGAGACTGGATAGAATCTTATTTGATCAGCAATGGTTGTTTATGTTTCCAATAGCGTCAGTTCATCATCTTAACCACAAAACTTCTGATCACTCACCATTATTGCTGGAATATAAGGCTGACGAAGAATCTAGACCGCGTCTTTTTAGATTTCAGCGAATGTGGCTTTGATGGGATAACTTTCTTGACATCGTCAAGGAGAATTGGGATCAATCAATTGAGCAGCGCGGTATGCTTGCTTTCTCATTAAAGCTGGGGAGATTGAAAGACTGCTTGAAAACATGGAATAAAGCAGTGTTCGGGGATGTACATCAGAATTTGAAAAATGCTGAAAACGATGTCAATATCAAAGAGCTGATATATGATCAAACTGGTGATGAGGCAGACCGCATGGAATTGCATAAAGCCCAAGCACATCTTCTTAATAAGCTGCGTGAGCAAGAAGATTTTCTTCAGCAAAAATCAAAACTAAAGTGGTTGTGCGACGGTGAGTCGAACACGTCATTCTTTCATGCTTCATTCGTAGAAAAAAAAAAAAAAGCAAGAATGGGGATTCACAAGATTCGGAAGGCAGATGGTACATGGATTCATGACAGGGCTGATATTGAACAAGAGGCTATAAATTTTTTCCAGACTTTACTCACCAAAAGAAGAGTCTCTGAATCATGATGAAGCATGCGAGGAACTCTTGAAGTGTATCCCTGCTGAAGTGACTCCACACGATAATGATAGTTTACTGCAATCCCTTACTTTGGAGGAGATAAAGGCTGCTGTTTTTGGTCTTGATCCATTGAGCTCTCCTGGGGTTGATGGTTTTGGGGGGAAATTTTATCAAAAATGCTGGCACATAATCAGCCATGATCTAAAATCAGCGTGCGATGATTTCTTACGCCTTTACCGAGAGCGATTGGAAGTACTATAATCACTCTAATTCCAAAGAAGGCCACAACGACTTCATTTGCGGATTTTCGGCCAATAAGTATGTGTAACTTTATCAATAAAGTTTTCACAAAATTATTGACCGAAAGGCTCAAACCTATTCTATCCGTACTCATCTCCGCTGAGCAATCGGCTTTTATTAAAGGGAGAGACATAGTTGATAGCGTGCTAATGACACAAGATTTGCTACAATTTTTGGATCATCCATCAAGAGGGGGTAATTTACTTTTGAAAATAGACATGATGAAGGCCTTCGACCGGGTTTCGTGGAGTTTTTTGCAAAGGCTTCTCAGAAAATTTGGTTTCCATGAAAAAAATCATTGCCCTAATAATGTCGAATCTTGAGCGAAGCTAGTTCTCAATCTTATTAAATGGTAGTCCGAACGGTTTCTTACAGGCCACGCGAGGGATTAAGCAGAGCGATCCCCTTTCGCCCTATTTGTTTATCCTTGTGTCGGAGGTTTTATCCCGGAATTTAAAGGTATTAATGGAGGCTGGAAAAATATCGCTCTATGGTGTTCCCTCGGGATCTATCATTGTTTCCCATTTATGCTTCGCGGATGACCTTATTATTTTCACAAGGGGTTTGAAGAGTTCTTTGCAAAGGTTGAATGATTTTTTCGTGGATTATAAAGATGCAACGGGGCAAAAAATAAATAAGCAAAAGAGCATGTTCATAACTACCGGAAAGAGTAGTGAGCGACAAGTTGATATTATCCTACAACCCTCCAAATGCCGCAGGGATCACTACCTTTTAAATATCTAGGATGTGTTCTCTTCAAGGGTCGGAAGAAGGTGGAATATTTTCAGCACCTATTAGAGGCTATGGATATTAAGCTTGCCAATTGGAGGAATCAGTTGCTTTCAACAGGGGGGAGATTGATATTAATTAGGCATGTTTTAAGTGCATTACCGATTCATACGATTGCAGCATTAGTTCCTCCAAAGTCGGTTATTAAAGCTATTGAAAAGAGATGTCAAGATTTCCTTTGGGGCCAAAATAATTATGCCCCGAACCAGCATTGGCGCGCATTC